GATTGCATTAGACACTGTTAAGCACCTCATATTCGTATAGGCTATGTTCTTCTGAGATGCTGTCATATCGTCTGTCGTGTTAAAATACTTATGAACAAACTCGGATAAAGATAACTTATGAAGCCACATATCATCATACATCATATCTAATATTTTTCTGTTGGCTTCTGCCGTTGGGTCCCCTTGTTGTCCTAATCTCTTACATATGGTAAGCGTAACATTATACTTGAAGATCTGATCAATACATTCATCTGCGTATTCGTCCGGCTTTCGCGTATTAGTTAGGTCTTCAATTGGCGGTAGCTGTTTGACATCACCCGCTCCGATGATAATTTTATTCGGGTTTTTCTTAACAAACTCTCTAATTCTATTTAGGATATGCGTTCCATTCATATAGATCTCGTCAAAGACTATACAGTTATAATTGCTATGATCAAACTGGGGGAGCTTCTCCCCATCGCCAACGGGTATGGCGAAAAACTTGTTGGTAGTCACAGCGTCGTCGTCAATATTTTGAGATAAGCTGTTCTGGGGCACCACGAACAGAGTATTATATCCCAACTTGCTGAAATGCTTTGCTATATGCGACTTGCCACCACCTGCGTATTTAGATCGGATCATCATAGGATTATTTGTTACGATATCTTTTGCTATGCTTTCCGTGTCCCACTCGTTTTCTATGGGTCTGGTCTCATTGCTAACTACGGGAATTGGTATCAGTTCGTTCTTTTTTGGTGCCCACTGCTCGGTTGGTTCCGCTATGTTTTTACTCTTCTCGTGTCTCCACCCGCCGATACGATCTGAGAACTCTACTAGGTTCTTGGCTCGTCTTAAATGCTCCTTCCTGATAACAAAGGCATCTGTTTTAACACTCCATACTCCTATATGATTTTCTGTTAGCTTGGTGTAGTCGGTGTGCATTTTAAAGTTATGATGTTGTAATAATAATTCTTTGATGTATATATATATATATATCCGTTTCGTAGGGTGGCTTTATCGGTCACTGTTAAGCAATAATATTTTCTGTCCATCTCCTTTTCTACGAAGTCTGTCTCGCCGTTGGGTAACTCAATCTCGTCAACATACATACCCGAGATTCTGTTAATCTTTCCTCCGATCTTGTTTTGATAATATAAGGCTTCCTTTAGAGTATCAAAGGCATAACTTTTGTGGGCTTTGTTCGTGTTCTTCTCAAGTAGCCCAAAGTTAACATTGGCTATTAGTTTTTTGATTCTGATGTCTTCGGCTGGTTTGTCAGAGATGTCTGTCTTCCATAATTCCGCTGTGATCTTCCTATAATCCACCTTGTATACTCTGGATGGTTGCTTATAATAAAGAATCTTACATTGCTTCACAAAGTGCTTTAAAAACATACCATATACTAAAGTGTAGGCTTTATTGAAAAATAGACTCCGCTTGGTGGGCTTGACCAAGTAGAGAGTGAGATCGTGAAAATCTGTCACTGTGCCACTGAAGGGCTTCCATATATCAAACTGAGTGAATACCGGTATCTCGGCGATCTTGTTAAACGCAGATGTGTAAGCTTTTCTTACATCTATCTCTGTAGCCACTTCTGTGGTATAACAGTATTTGTCGTCTTTGTCTGTCTTAGGGTTATATAAATAATAATGTTTATTTATTTCACCCGTTGGGGGGATGGTGCGACACTCCTTAAAAATCTCTACATCTACTTCGTTGTAATATGACTTGTGAGTAGGCTTGAAGAGGGCGGTGTTAAAATTAAACATCGCTTTAGACATCTTATTGTAGATCTGCTCGGTTCTCACGCAGATGGAACCATCTATAGAATTATTTACCAGGTTCTGGGTCTTAACCTTGTATTTACTCTCTTTGTGGGTCTTGTTGTTTATCTTGATCTTAAACTTGAAGTTAAGTTCAGATACGAACCCTGCGCTAAACCTAACCTGTGGCTCATACCCTGCCTGTTTGCTAAGATAAAAGAGATGAGACAGATCGTAGCCATTATATACCAATGTGTATTCGCTATGATCTGTGTATTTCCGGATGTCGTCTAGGGATGTGATCATTTTACATTCCACTGGCTCCTCCTTCTCGTTAAGGTGATAATCTGAAGAAGCCTTAACAGATATACTATAATTACTGCTTTTTGGTATCATCTGCCTCAACATATTCACATTATCACTTGCCGTGTAGATGTGATTGTTCTTCACTATAGCATATAAGGCTGGGATGTGATGGTTTCGCTTTATAGGGTCGCGCTTATAAATTAGAGTATTAAAGGCATCATATATTCTCACTTGCAAGTTAAAATGTTCAAACACCTTAGCCATGTCTGTTATTGATGCCCCCTTTGTTTTAAAATCTTCTTCCGTCTTGTTTATGATTTTTAGGATGGCTTCTTTTGTTAGTTTGTTCTTCTCTCTCTTGTGGTCTCCCATAAGGGTATCCTTATAATAATCCGTCAAGGTGTTAAACCAACACTCGTTCTTAACATAATGATCTACTTTAATGGCTTCTTTAAAGGTCTCATACTGTGGATCTAAGGGTGTCTGAATATATCTGTGATACATACTGACATTCACTGTGTTTGTTAGATCTTCGTCTTGTGGCTTGAAAGCATCGGCGTTATCTACCCTTTCGGCATAATTAACTTTAATACAGTCAATGTAACCTTCTGCGTAACCAACTTCGGCTTTAAAACTGTCATCTGTCACTAATAACAACTTGAGCCTATAGAACGTCTTAGAATCGGCTTTCTCATATTTGAATATGCGTCTCCCCGCTAATTTTTCTACCCACGGTGTTGTATGCACATTAGCAGTTAAAGGGTTCATGTATACTGGGACATATTCCCTACCCCTACTGTCTCTAAAAGACGTTTTTAATACACCTTTGTCTGCTTCTGTCTTAAGCCTATATAAATGAACATTGATTGAATATTTTCTTGGTTTTCTTGGGTTGGTTCTTCCCGTTCGTTTGTTGTCTTCTTTGGCTTGTGACATTCTCTGGCTTAGTTGTTCTTTATCCTTGTGCTTGTCGTATATTTTATTATATTATTTTTCCGCTTTAGTTTTTTCTTTGTCTGTTTTTGCGGTGGTGAGTTTCCTGATTAAATTGTCTGCTGTGGTGAATTGGGCAATCTTACGATCTGAATATAAGTTAATTATATTTTGAACTTGTGTTCTGGTGGCTTGGCTGATGCGGTTTCTTCTGTTGTTATAAAATGTTTGTAGTGCTTCCGTATTACGCTTAATGGCTTTGGACATATACTAATATAATTAAACTATATATTTATTTTCTTTTTAAGTATAATTTTTCCAAAGATTTTTTAAAATACTAAATGTTTTTTAATATATAGAAATATGTCTAAAGATAAAAAAAATATATAGTATAGTATAATATGAGTAAAAATCCCGAGGATATGACAATGGATGAAATCAAAGAGCAACTCGCCATATACAGCAGATTGTATTACAACAAGCGCAGAAATGATGAAAAATATATGCAAAAGAAACGAGAACCTGCACTACGACACAATCAGAGAAAGAAGATCAAGGAGTATGAAGAAGCCAACAATATCAAACTGAACCCCGATGAGTTGACAGAAGAATTGCTGTCTGAAATAATGAATGCAAAAAAGCCTTTTAAAGCAAAGCGCGGCACACCCAAATATGATATGAGCAAGTTCAAGATCATAAAGCCGATGGATGACGAATGATGATTTAATTTAAGTATTAAATCATTATTTTCTTTTGTTTTTATATGAGTGAGAAACAAAAAATTATTAATGATGTATATTTTGATCGCGCGGGGTTTGGTTCAAAAAACCGGACTTTAGAAGAAGCGCGGGAGAAAGATAAAACCATCACGATGTCTGATATTAACGAGTTTTTTAGGAAGAATGTTGATCAAAAGCGAAAGCCCGTCGGTTCTAACAGCTTTGTCGCCCCGCATTCAGCATATGAGTATCAGATGGATTTGTTTTTTATCAACGACTTGAAGGATCAAAAATTTAGAGTAGGAATGTTAATGATTGATATATTTGATAAGTTTATGCATGTCGTGGCAATTAAAGGCAAAAAGGAGGAAGACTTAGCGAGTGGGATGATTGAATGCTTAAACAAGATGGGGAAGAAGCCCAAACTAATTTTTACCGACGACGAGGGAGCAATGAACAAGGAGGCAATACAAAATTATTTACAGGAACAGAACATAGCACACTATAGAACTAGGGCACACGCAAATTTCAGCGAGAGGGCCATTAGGACGTTCAAAGATTTATTATATCGTCGTGTTGAAGCCGATCAGAAAAAGGGTAAGAACAATATTCAGTGGCCAGATTATGTTTTTGAAATATTATTAACATATAATAATAAAATGAAACATTCCGCGACTGGCTTCACCCCAAAGGATGGCAGAAAACCGAGCAACGAATTAAAAGTTAAACTCCACTTAAACATGAATGCTAAACGAAATCGGGTCTATCCTGATTTAGGTGTCGGGGATGAAGTTAAAATATTTAGGAAAAGGAAGCCCAATGAAAAAGAGAGAGTGGGCAATTTTAGCCAAAATGTTTATACCATAGAAAGAATTGACGAAAAACTGGGTCAAAAATATTATTATGTTGAAGGTAACAATAGAGCATATTTACGCTTTGAGTTGTTAAAAGTGTAGCTTTTCCTGCGTTTTTGAAGTTGTGGTGGTTTTCACAACTCGAGTTGTAAGTTGTTTTACGACTTGCAACTTGGAGTTGTCAGTGGCCACTTACAAGTTAGAGTTGGGTTCTACGATGTGCCAATTGAAAGCAGTGTGAGTTGTTCCGAACCTTTCAACATAGCTCCCATGTCCGATGTTGCTGTATGTGCACGAGGCTGTTCAAGAGGAGCTTCGCTGAATACGTCTTCCATGCAACAAGTTCCTAAATGCCAGTTTCACGAGTGTTGAGTGTGCATGAGAGGACAAAGATGTAGCCCAGTGTCACACATTTAGTTGCACGGTTTTCGTTCCCTGTAGATGCCATGTCTGAACTGCCGTCCAAACGGCAGAAGCTCGAACACCGTTGGATTTTGACGCAGGTCAGTGACTTGAGTGTGCCTGACGATGTCAAGAATGCCGCCGCAAATGCTTACCAAGAGCTTGACGCGGAAGATGTAAGAGGTGCTTCTTTTGAGGACCTAGCTGCCCTTTTGCAAACAGAGGATACGAAGGCGCGCGCTGCTGTCATTTTGCGTTTGCGGAACAGGCTCCGCCCCACAAGTCAAACAGCAGAACCGGTCCCTGGGCTCCAATACAACATGTCTTTTGCCTTTCCTGATTTTTGCAGTCGTTTCCCCAATAGGCTTATTGATTACCTTACTTATTGGGTTTAGGGGTTGGCTCTTTGGTTGTAGCCGAGTTGTTTATTCCCCCCTAGGTTGGTTTCCTCGTAGGGTTTCGCGATTGGGTTAGTTGATTGGGTTGATTAGTCGGGTTTAGGGTTTTCTTCTGTTTTGGGGCGAGGCTGAAGCACCGAGTCCTACCGCGGCATTGCCAAAGCCCACGGAGGCGGACGTCGAACTGCCCGATTTGGCGGTGCTGGCGGTGAACAAGCTCTTGGACGTTTCAGGTTTCACGAAATTGAGCCTTGGATGGTTTCAGAGCCTTTTTTTGGGGGGTTGGGTTTTTTTGTTGTGCTTTAGTTGTTGTTCGGTTCTGTAAGGTTGGCATCAAATACGGAGGCGACCCGACCCATTTTCCTGCGCAAACACCTGCTCGATGTGCACAAGGTGGCGGTTGATGTTTTGTCCGCTAGTGTTGAAGAGGATGCCAAGCGCTTGGTCTCCTTGGTCGGATGCCCCGGAACTGGCAAGACGTGGTGTGGGTGGTTGGTTGCCCATGCCTTGCAGAAAGCAGGGAGGAGGACACTGCATGTCACCATCAGAGGCAATGAGGTGATTGTGGTGTCCGAGTTCAAGAAGAAGAAGAAGTCGTATGCCATCAAAGACTGGAACTACTACATGCTTTTGCAAGTCCTGACCGAGAACCCGTGCGATGTCTGCATCATCGATGTGGGGAACAAGCTCCCCATTCAAACCCACGATATTTTTCAGGGTGTCCGCACCATTCTGGAAAGCAGCGCTGAGCCGAAGCCCTTCCCGAAGGTCAAGTTCATGGGCTTGGTTTCTGGACACGGCGAGGAGAGCATAGTCGGCAAAGAAGCTCGGGACAAGTTTACACAGAGGCTTGTTCTGTGGAGTTGGTCCGAGAATGAGTTCAACGCGTATCGCAAGGCTATCAAGACTGCAGGTGCTGAGAAGTTAGGGGAGACTATCTACAGTATTTGTGGTGGTAGCGTTCGTTATTGGTTTGATCCCAAAGAGGACCAGTCCAAGATTGACAGGGACGTGGAGCAACTAAGCCCTCAAGACATGCAGAACTTCTTGACGCCATTTCATCGCTCCACATCCAACGCGAATCACCACGAGCACTCGCGATTGTTGGCTTTCTTTCGCATTCCCGACACAAAAAGGAAAAAAACACCCGAGAATGATTTCAAGCGTGGTGTTGTGTCCGCTTACATCGTGCCTCGCTCAGACTACGTTATTCGCAGCATCAGGGCGCACAAGAGAGGCACTTTCTCCCAAATGAAGAAGATGTATGAGGCGCTGCTGCCTCTGAACCCGGGCGCTGCAGGAACGCCGTTTGAGATTCTCGTGCGTTACTTCTGGGAGGAGTGCATCAATGAGAAGGATAACATCCACTGATTGAAACTCACTGACAAAAATGGCAAGGTGCAGACGACTATCGCGGTGAAGTGTGCGGAGTTGAAGCCCGTGGCTGAATGTGAGCCTGTTGAGCATTGGGACAACAAAGGTTCTGTGGATACGAACCTGTTTGGTTATTTCACTCCGGATAACAAAAGCAACTACCCCAGACTGGACAGCATTTTGCGCTACAAGAGTGGCCGTAGCGCAAAGGTTCTTGCAATCCAGGTGAGCATCGGAGAGGAGCACATTCAAGGCGCCAAACCCAAAAACGCGTTGGTGCAGGAGAAGCTCGCGAAAGGCTTGAAGACAAAACTGGCACTGTGGGATCACCGCGACAATGGCAGGAAGTGTGTGTGGAAAAGCCACGCGTCCAAGGATTGGGACTTGGTTTATGTTCGCTGTAAAGAGTTCGATGCCAAGATGAGGCAAAGTTGAAGACATGCCGTGGCTTACAGGACAGGAGTGACAGTTGCAAAAGAGGCTGAGCGTCCGCATCCGTGCAATCCTTAACCCTAAACCCTGAACCAAATTCTACAAGGACCCCTTTGCCCCTTTTGAGTAATAATGCCACCTTAAAGGTAATAGATGGGGTAATGGTTATTCCTAGAATTGTATTGATAATGGGGTAGTAGTCGTGATATAATGGTGAAGTGTAGGGGGGAGTATAAGAATGATCATCTAATGGGGGAAGTAGTAGTGATTTATCGGTGATGTGTAGGGGGGACCCTAGGAATTCCTAAAAATGATCATCTAATTGGTTGGCGGTGGCATTATTACCCAAACTGGGCAAGGTCTACTCTGACTAATTCCCTGGCCGAGGGCCTTTACCGCAAGACCTCCTGGCAGGTGAAAAAGGGGCTCCCAACAAGAAACTAAACCCCTAAACCTAAAACCCTATGTATATATGTATATACTTATGTTATGTTATGTTTTGTTATGTTATATCATATTATATCATGTTATATTATAACTTATGTGTATATGTGTGTGTGTATATATATATATATATATATCCTACAGTCTCAGCCCGAGGGGATCCATCGAAGCCCCGGGCGTCGCGGGGAACCACGCCCGGGAGCCAGGCGAGGGCCTTTGGGGATGAAAGGTGTCGGGTCTTTGGGTTTAGGGTTTAGGGTTTGAGGTTTCGGGCCTTTGGGGTTTCGGGTATTTGTGATTCAGGGCTTGGGGCCCGGGTGTTTGTCTAGGGTTTGAGGTGTCGGGTTTTAGGTTTGGGGATTAAGGTTCAGGGGTGCTTGAGGATCCTATATTGAAACTCCGGGATTGTGGGTTAGGGAAGGCTGTTTGGGCAAAGCTTAGGGGTTTTAGGATTCAGGGCGCAGGGTGAATCTCTAATGTGCTAGTCAGTCTAGCTTGGTTCATGGACAACACACGAAGCGTGTGGTCGTGATTGGGCATATGTTCTTGGACTGTTGAGGTTGGTCTCGCCAACAAAGAAGTGAAGCAAACGCCGCCAATGGAAACACATATTTTGCCACTTCCAGACCTGTGAAATTTTAATATGACCTCTGGAGGCATCAAGAAGTGGAACTTGAAATATTCTGAATGGGGGCGATTTGTTTGCAATCTCAGTATGATCTGTGTAGTCTAAACCCCCAAACCCAAAACTCTAAACCCCTAAACCCTCAACCCAAAACCCTAAACTTTTAACCCCCAAACCCAAAACTCTAAACCCCTAAACCCTCAACTCAAAACCCTAAACTTTTAACCCCCAAACCCAAAACTCTAAACCCCTAAACCCTCAACCCAAAACCCTAAACTTTTAACCCCCAAACCCAAAACTCTAAACCCCTAAACCCTCAACCCAAAACCCTAAACTTTTAACCCCCAAACCCAAAACTCTAAACCCCTAAACCCTCAACCCAAAACCCTAAACTTTTAACCCCCAAACCCAAAACTCTAAACCCCTAAACCCTCAACCCAAAACCCTAAACTTTTAAACTCAAGGCTCTAAAGTCCCTAAACCCTAAACCCTCGAGTCCCTAGAACCGCCCACAGTTCTCCGACCTTTTCGTCGGCCGGAGCAAGTCAGAGGCCGAGGCCAGTCTTCTAGATACTGGGACTTGAAGAGCTTTCCCAAAGGCTCCATGTACCTTTATAGTAGATACTTAGGCCTTAAAGGGGTCTCTTTTTTTAGGTACTTTAAGGCCTATGTATATACTATATGGGTACATGGAGCCTTTGGGTTTTATATAGGGGGCCTTCATAATCACCTAAACTATAAGGGTTCCTTTTAAAGGGGTCTATAAGGGTGACTGTAAGTCAATAAGGGCTACTATAAGGATTAAGAATAGGGGCCTTAATAGTTACCTATTCTATTTTGGGGGCTTCCTTATCCCAATTATAGTATAATGGGCCGCAAGACCGCATTCTAACTACTAATATGGCCTCTACATCAAGCAGTCTACGAGTGTAGGGTTAGTTTAGGCATAGAGGTTAAGGGTTCAGGGTGTAGGGTGAAGGGTTTAGAGACAGTGGGACGGGTGCGGGGCAATCGAGAATCATGCCTCGAAACGTTTGTGCCCTGGAAACCTGCTTGCAACATACTCCTGCAAACTGCAAACTGCGTTTAAACGCCCGAGAAGTCGGCAGCCTCATCAAGGTCTTTCGCAACAACCCCCGCAACTTGACTTATATAGTTGATCCCGGTAAGTTGCCTCGTTTTCTTATGATACTCTGCGACCCAAGATGAAGCTGCACTCCAGGGTCCTGGTGCACCCTGGCTGCAGCATAGTCTCGTACGGGACCCCCAACCAGAAGAAATGCTTCTTGCAATCCGAACTGCACCCTTGCAACCTGTAGCCCAAGCCCCACGTTATCGGGTCTAGCTCTTGAAGCAGTAGGAACACTCGGTACAATTCAATAGATAGGCCTGGCAAGCCCCGTCTAGCGGTTATCGACCAGGAAGCCTACAATCCAACCCGAATCCCAGAGCCATTGTCTGGCGAATTACTTTCTACACAGGCTTTAATAATTACCTCTACGCCCAAGCCCTATTCCAAAGGTTAAGGCCCCTATACTACCAAGCACTGGCAGGAGCAGCAGCGAAAAGTAGGCTGGATCCACAGCGCGACGGTTTAGACTTCAGGGTATCGCGGATGTCAAACTTCAGGGTGTCCTGCCTCGGGTTTCGTAGACTTCAATTTCAGGACTTGCGGTTCTGAATTTAAGGATTCAGAGTCTACAGCTGCGGAGTGTACTAACTCTTTTACTTTATGCTCGCACTCCGAAGGGCTTGGCTTCGGGTTTTGTCGTTCGGAACTTCAAGCCCGAAACCTACATCTTAAATCTCGCTCACATGCTGTTTAAATTCCTGACGTTGAAAGTTTTGGAATGGTGAATTCTGACATATTGTGACCACTGTGGGTAATGGTTCAGGCTCGGCTTTGCTGTTTCATGTGTATGATGTCGGGGTGGAGCCCAAAACCGGTTTTGGGATTTAGGTGTTTAGGGTTTACACTATCCGGAGCCCCAGAATGCGAACAAGCCTTCAATCCCCAATCATGCCAGGCCAATGTTTTGGGCGTGGTGTTTAGAGTTTGCATGTTCAGGGTGTAGGCTTTAGGGGGCATCGAAGCCCGAAGAGCCCGACCTCAACATCCTCAACCCGAAGCCCCAGACCCCAAAACACACCCAACCCCCCCCCCCCCCCCAAACCTGCCCACCCATGAAGCAAAAGCGATGTGGAGCCCTAAAAACCCTAAACCCTGAACCCGCTCCAAAACCTCTAATTAACCTAATTCCCACCGTCTCCCCTCCCTCCAATACCAATCGCAGGCAAGACCCGCAGCCGTGCTCGTACCGTCCCGGCCGAGAGCCCGATTGGAAGCTCCAGCTCGGAAGGAGGCGCATGTTTCTGGCGGGGGTTTAGGATTTAGGGCTTAGGGTGTTTAGGATTTGGGGTTTAGGGTCAGGGTTTAGGGTTATAGGGGTTCGGTTTAAGTGTTTAGGATTTGGGCTTGAGGGTTAGGGTATCCGGGTATAGGCGATAGGTGATCCGAAACCGAACCGCAAGCTCAGCCTTACGACACCCCCTTTTCGGGATACGACCAGGCCCTGAACTCCTGTCCGAGGAAGAATTGCCCCTTGAGGCTCCCGTCCTAGGAGCTTGGGGCTTAAGGCTTAACCCTAAACCGCAGACCCCTGTTCTAGCTCTTGAGCCCCCTCTCGCAAGGGACCCAGACTTGATCAATCCGATATGCTTGGAAATTGCCTGCCGTCAGACTCGCCAGCCTCCACGCCGCGGCCGCAGGCGATGCTTGGGTGTCGGTGCGTTTTGCTATGGCTAGAAGCCCAGCGTGTAAGAGAAAAGCACCAGAGCCATAAAGCCCTGCACCCGACGGGATCCTACGATCCTTGAGCAGAGCGAACTTCTAGGTGGATCCAGAGTACTGTAAGGTTTCTTTTAGGGTTTAGGGTTTGATAGATGTGTGTTTAACATTGGTTGCTGGATCTGGAGGAGTGAGCTCTCCAGTAAGAGCGCATCCAGCAGTACGAACGACGGCCTGTCATGAGTGTCGTATCAGCTACAATGAAGATATGTCTAACGTGGTGGGGTTTATATGTCTGGCTCGTGTTGCAGCACCTCAAAGCCCTAAACCCTGAATCCTAAAACCCAAAGCCCTAAACCCTAAAACTCACCACCTTGTCCTTCTTTGGTTAACAGGCAATATTGGCGGAAAGGCTCTCCAGGCCCTGAGTATATCCACCTGAGCTTAGGGTCGAGAGTCAGTTTAGCGTTTGGGGTTGAGTGCATGGCACGAGATTCGGGTATGCTGGGTACAGAAGATAAAGAGTGCTAGCGGTTTCGGGAGGGGGCTTCGGAGAGTTGAGGATGTATTCTCTGTGCTTCGGGCTTATGGGCCCAAAGGTGTATGGGACACTGCCGCATATTTCGATTTTGCCAGGCCACCCCTGATCCGTCGGTGAGGCCATGGGTTAAGGGTTTAGGGCGGGCTCCATGGTAGACCCATACCCTTGGAACATGGTCGTGGGAGGTAAAGAGAACATAGTATTGGTAGTTATTTAGGCCCCTACAAGGCCCTAGTTTACGGTTCCTTGTCCCACTAGATGCTACTCAACCCTAACCCGAAGTCTATATCATTGAACCCCAAACCAGGACCCAAAACCCTAGTAGCCCAGGCTCCCAGTTTTGGCAGGTTTCGGAGGGGTTGGGGTGAAACTTTGGGAATTCGCGAATGAAGTTACGGGGTTTAGGGTTCATGCAGGCTTATAAATCGATAAAGCTGAGAGGTTTAGGGCTTTCGCTGGTAAACTTTCGAGGTTGGAGGGTGAGGTCGACGCTGGCAAATCCCTTGTGGAACCTTGAAGAACCCTGATAGGACCCTTGTGACACGCTGATGGAACCCTACACCCTCAACCCGAAGCCCTGGAAGAGCCCTTAAGGGCTCGGGGTT